GGAGTACAATGGCGCAATCTTGGCTCACTGCAACCTCCGCCTCCCTGGGTTCAACTGATTCTCCTGCCTCAGCCTCCTGAGTAGCTGGGGTTACAGGTATGCACCACCACACCCAGCTAATTTTGTGTATTTTTCCTAGAGACAGGGTTTTGCCATGTTGGCCAGGCTGGTCTTAAACTCCTAACCTCAGGTGATCCACCCACTGTGGCCTCCCAAAGTGCTAGGATTACAGGCCTGAGCCACTTTGCCCAGCCTCTTCCTGCCTTTCAATTCAGTTGTGTGAGAATAAGATACTCAATGTTGCTGCACCCAGCTGGGGAATTATCACATATAAGTTGACGGCGGGGTGCCAAAGCAGAAACACAGAAACTGGCTCTTCGTTGACACTTGAGCCGAAAAACTCACCTGGAACAACCTCCTTCCAGATGTATTGTCATAGGAGGGAATAAGACAATCTCACTGTTTCAGCCGCTTTCAGTGGGTGTTTTGTAACTTGCAGCCGAAAGCATAGTTACCTCTCTGTGCCTCCGTTTCTTCCTTTAGAAAACGGTGATAACACCACTTACCCAGCAGGTAGTGAGGGGAAATGGTACAATATAATGCCTAACATAAGGGAACTCACTAAATGGTAGCTAGTCATATCATAATCACGATAACACTCATGGCAAAATCCTCAGTGATAGGAACGTTTTTCTCCACTCCACCAGTGGCTGCCTGGACTATTTTTGCTCCACCCAGCTATAATTAAACCGGGAGAGAGAAAACAATGCCCTTGCGTGCCACCCGACGAGCACTGTCAGCTCCTCTCCCCTTTGTTCCGTTTTCTGGCCAGTTTCTTCAATAACCCGCAGCCCCCTTATTTCCTGTGGTCGGCTCCACTTACTTAACAATCCATGTGCCAAGAATATCCCGGTTTAATAGCTGTGCTACACGTGGTTATAAGCAGTGGCTGCTGGGTGGAGCCAAAACAGCCCAGGCAGCCAAGTGCGGCACCGCAGGCGCTGGGGCGGCAAAGATGCAGACGATCCCCCCTGTGGCTGCGCCCCAGGAGTCCGAGAGTAGTTGTGTTTCTGGAAAGTGTAGTACATATGAAAATCATGCAAAGATAGTGTGTGTTTATATATAAAACAAAATTAGGTTCTAGGATCAGATAGTTTTTAAAGTTTTTTTTTTTTTTTTTGTTTTT